CAACACGCGCCGCTGAGAAGATGTCTCCTACATGGCCACGCTTCAGTGTACCCGAAGCGCAGACGCGGTTTATGAAGTCTACCAGAGAAGCCCCGAACAACAAAAATATCAAGCCATTGTTGAATACCTTCAGCCAGTTACCTGGAACTGAGGATGAAAAAAAATGTACCCTTGACCAAGCTTTCAGAGGTGTTCTGCAAGAAGAAATTATAAATCACTCATCGTGTGAAAATGTTTTAGCTATTATTTCTCTTGCTATTGGGGGAGTAACTGAAGGTATTTGCACCGCATCTGCACCTTCTGTATTGTTGGGAGACGTTTCGGAATGTCTCCCTTTGGATCAGTGTGACACAATATTCACGTTTGTGGAAAAAAATGTTGCTACTTGGAAATCAAATACATTCTATTCTGCTGGGAAAAATGATTTACTACGTATGTGCAATGATCTCTTAAGAAGATTATCAAAATCCCAGCACACAGTTTTGCATGCACGAATTCAACTCTTTTTGGCCAGGCTTTTCCCTTTATCTGAGAGATCCGGTCTTAACTTGCAGAGTCAGTTTAATCAGGAAAATGTCACCGTTTTCAATACCAATGAGCAGGAAAGCACCTTGGGTCAGAAGCACGCTGAAGACGGAGGAGAAGGAATGGACGTAGACGAAGGTGACATGGGTGATGATGAAGCTCCAACAACTTGCTCCATCCCAATGGATTACAGCCTGTACCGCAAATTCTGGTCCCTTCAGGAACCCTGTGCGATGCTGTGAGAAGATTTCATGGAAAACTTTCCTCAAGTACTCAGACGAAGTCCTGGCTGTTTTCAAGAATTATAAATTAGGTGATACTCAGGCCTCAAGAAAAAAGACGGGAGAATTAAAAACAGGAGGAGAACATGTATATGGTGCAACATTTTTAACAAGTGAAAAGTTGCTGGGTTTACAACTGAGTGACAGTAACTTTCGCCGACACATTCTACTGCAGTATCTCATTTTATTCCAATATCTTAAGGGACAGGTGAAATCCAAATGTTCAAACGATGTTTTAACTGATGAGCAGTCACTCTGGATTGAAGGTACTACAAAATCAGTTTATCAACTGCTCTCTGAAAACCCACCCGATGGAGAGAGATTTTCAAAGATGGTAGAGCATATATTAAACACTGAAGAAAACTGGAACTCATGGAAAAATGAAGGCTGCCCAAGTTTTGTGAAGGAAAGAACATCAGATACTAAGCCGACGAGAGCAGTACGAAAGAGAACAGCACCAGAGGACTTCCTGGGGAAAGGGCCCAACAAAAAGATTCTGAAGGGAAAGGGGGCGTTAACAAGCCTTTGGGATCTCTGCCCGGATAATATGGAAGCTTGTAAATCAGCCCCCAGAGGCTATATGCCAACTTTGGAGGAATTCTTTGAAGAAGCCATTGAACAGGCAGACCCGGAAAGCATGATTGAGAATGAATATAAGGTTGTGAACAATCCAAATTATGGTTGGAGAGCCCTGAGACTGTTAGCACGGAGAAGCCCTCACTTCTTCCAGCCAACCAAACAACAGTTCAAAAGTTTGCCAGAATATCTCGAAAACATGGTACTAAAGCTAGCAATGGAATAACCACCTCCTTCTGAAGAAATAAAAACAGGTGAGGGTGAAGATGAGGAAGATAATGATGCTGTACTGAAGGGAAATGAAAGCCCTGATGCTCACCGAGACAAACCTGTAACAGGGGAAAAATAGAGATATTTGCCAACAAATTGGGTGAACAATGGAACATTCTGGCTCCTTCCACATCACCTCAGATTGAAAAGAAAAAAAAAACTCCTAAAAAAAAGCACCCCCAAAAAACTTCCCCAAAAAACCTCCTCAGAAATGACATTGATCCAGCCTTTCAACGCGCAGAGGCTTTGGCAAGCCCAAATGGCCCGGCCAGGACTTGATCTCTGGACAGGGCCTGACCATCCATCCAGAAAGGGAGTGTGTGTGTGTGTGGGGGGAGGGGGATTAGAGAGAGAAAGGGAGAGAGACACAAAAACTGACGAGACAGAAAGATCGAATGACTGCTTCCTGCCTGCCCCCCACCAGGAATGTGCACTGACTGGAGATTGAATTGGCGACCTCTAGGTTCATGGAAGGATGCTCCCCCATTGAGCCACATCAGCTGAATCCATGTTATATCTTTTGATTGAAGAATTAGTTCATATACATTGCAAGAATTATTGAGAGCCATGTAGTTAATGCAATTTTGTTTATTGTTTTCTGGCTGTTTTATAGTTCTTGCATGCATCTGACTCTTTTCCTTTGTGGTTTGGTGATTTTCTTTAGCGTAATGCTTAGAGTAC